CAAAAAAAACCCGGCAAAAAAAAAAGGAGGGGGTAATTTTAACGTAAATTTTCCACAAACTAATTTTTTTTTTTTTTTTTTTTTTTTTTTCCCTAAGTTTTGCATTCATGTATTTCTTGGATGTGATAGTAGGCTACATATGGATGAAAGAAAAAAAAAAAAAAACACTTTTGGGTTTGACCCGTCTCATTAAATTGCATTAATTGATTAGTGTTTTATTTACTAAAACGTTTGTCTGAAGAATAAATTACATATGATCAAAGACTATAGATAATCATCGTAAGATCAATTATTTTGTGGTTTATTAGATAAAGAATTCCGCAACTAAAAAAAACACTAAATATGAACGGAGACAAACATAAAAGCATAACAAGGCCAATGTAATAAGCTCTTAGTTGCATTGACAGTTGGTCAACCTATAAATAAATACAACTAAATTCTACCGTTTCCGAAGCTTTGAAACAAGGGGACCAACGTAGAAAGCTTAAAAAGCTTCAGCTTCTCATCAGAACCCTGCACAATGAAAGAACGAGTGCCTCGGTGGTCTGAATCTAGCTATTGCTTTATTCACAGAACTTCGTTTGGACAGCCACCATTGCAATTTTCACATCCCATTTCTAAACTCAGCTAATGGTAAAGAAATCTCTGTATGATCACAACAAGTCTGAGTGACTTTGGTTGCTGTTCACTTGGATGGGAAGGCTTCAGTTTTATTGATGCCTTACGCAGTTTTTCACTCATAACAAGGCAACAAGCCCTAATATGTTGACGTTTTATGACATTGTCTTTGTGACAAGAGGCTAATTTGACTAGAATTCAAGTCGTGATGAAGGTGTTTTAAAATTGACATGTTGTGTTGATCATGTAATAAGTTAGTAAGGTGTGTCCTGGAAGCCCTGCTAACAAAATGATGGAGAATGAATTCTTTTGAAGCCACAGTATTAAATTTATAGCAACTATCTAAATGAATTAATAAATAAAATGGATAACATGATCTAACGGTTTTAAATAAAACAAAAACAACGATTCCTAATGTTGCTAAAATAATTGGACGTATTGCTGAAGTTGTAAATGTAAATCTATACTTTATTGCTATTATAATGTAGATAACAGCAAAGATGATTTTTTAAAATACTGCTGACTTGCTTGTCTACGTAGGCGAAACGTCACTGAGCATCACAACGTAGATTTTCAAAATAAAAGTACCCTTAGACTCATCTAAAGAACTGAGTAGACTATATAAAACTGCACAGCTCTGGATCAAGAGACGCACTGCACTGAAAACCTCACGGTCATTCCACCAAATATTGATCTCTGAACTCTTCCTGAGTCAAAACATTAGTATTGTTGCTTCTAAATGAATGTGAACTTGTTTTCTTTGCATTATTTGAGGTCTCAAAGCACTACGTGTTATTTATTATTTTATTTTGACCATTTCTCATTTTCTGCCAATAAATACTAAATTTTTGCTTGGAATTTCGGAGACATGTTGTCAGTAGATCATAGAATAAAATAACAATGTTTATTTTACTCAAGCATATAACTATAACAAAGAAAAATCGGAGAAACTGATCATTTTAAGTGATCTCATAATTTTTTTTTTAGAGTTGTATGGACGCTTTTTTACAAGCGTCCGTGAAGGCAGCATCAGCTCCAGTCTGACAGGGGGGAGGGGCTTCAAGCAGGAGGTCACAACAATCATGGCGTGCAGAGGATTTATTATAAAATGGGGCAAAACAGAGTTCTATAGATCGCCAAATACCTTTTCCAGATGCTCAAGGTGAGCAGTAAAAGCGGCGTTCAGTTTCTGTTTGTCTGAAGATTAACCCTGGAAGGAGACGTGCGTGTCTAGGTTTTCCTCTCGTCTAGTAATGTTTAGTTACCTAACCGTTCTGCCACTGTAAATGCAGCTAACTTTGTTTGGGGTAGGAAACCGGGGTTGCCAGCGTCATCGATATTTATTACTATATTAGTATTACTAATTTCTGATGATGGCCAGTGTTTTTTTTTCATTGCGTTTGCTTGTTTAAGGCTGTGCTAATTGGGCTGAGGTACACACACGCTGCATATTATGCAACCCACATCAAATTAGCTAACTTCATGTGGTTGTTACCAAAGGGGATTTAAAATTTTGCCATTTAGTTGCTAGCTTTTGTTACTGTACCTAAACATTAAGGATGGAGTACGGGGTCCGCTCTTAGAGGTTGGAAACAAAACGTGGCATAGCTGTTTCAACGAGTGCTTGGGGACCGTCAACAAATAGCAACACCTGGCTATTAACTAGACATACAACTGGCAGTTTTGTTCCCAAAATGAAAATTTTCAGTGGTTTTGCTGTTTTGTTTTTCTTTTCTTGTTTGTTTGGTTGTGTTTTGTGTGCGGTTGAGTGAAATTAGATAATTTATTTTAAGAGTAATAAAAACATGACACACTTGGCTGGTTTATTAGTTGGCCATTTTTCTTAGGTAGTCAGCTACATAAATGGCACAAGTTGTTCAAATATTAGTTTAAGAATAGTATTACCTCATAGAGTAATGCGTGAGGTTTCTTTAGTTTCCACACCATGACTCTCCATTGTTTCCATGACTGGAAATATTTCCAAAAAGCCAAATTTTTGGAAATAATGTTATTAGGGAATAATCTCTAGCCTATTAAACACTTCACTTTTTAAAATCATCAGTATGACTTCATACCAGCCCATGCCGCAGGTAAAAGGTTTTGCTTGTTTTTTTTTTGTTTTTTTTTTACAGGCTCAACCCCTACCAGCAACAGAGGAGTGGGTTCCGCCGGGAAGCTAAAAGGACAGATCCCAGAAAGGGAAATGTCAACAAGCAACAAACCAAAACGTCACCCCCCGAGGCTGGCACACCGGGACCCCCGCCTCCTCCCAAAGTCCGACGGCCAAGGCTCTTTAGACCACTGATGTTCACAGTAGGGGTATGCTGACGTCCGAATTATAACTAAGTCTGAATATGAAGTATAGTAAGAAAAGAGGATCCATTTTTTATTCTCTTGAAACACAACAAGTCCTGTCTCTATTAACAGCACAGGGCAACTATAGATGAATAGGGGTCATCCTCTGAATGTGCTAGGGGGGAATTTGATGTATGAAATCAGAAGATTGTTAATTTTGATGTAATGCCAACATGTGTAAATTGTTGCTAAAATAATATTCAGGACAGAAGATGGCTGGTTGTTTGACTCCATGCCAGTTTGCAGGTTGTTCCTTTGGTGGGGCGGCCATTTTGCAGTACGAGACTCTGAAAGCAAGAGTTCAAACTGCAAAAGATGGAGAAGAGCTGGAAAAACTCGTAATGGTAAGGATTTTACTTAACCGTTTTACCCTTATCTTCCACCACTTTTAACTTTTGCCAACTGTTCAGTTAGCAATCAGCTCAATTAGAGTCAATTCCCCATCATTTTGTTAACAAGGGTTCCCAGGACATGGCGTACTGGCACGACTGGTGGAACCAGCTGTCCAGCTTCCAGCGGCAGCTCCTCCTCCTGGTGTCCATGGTGGATGACTTCTGGAGAAGCCTTACAGAGGGACAGAGGACTGCTACTGGTAGATTTATCAGCAGATATATTTTGGATCTCATCGATTGTGGACGTCGGCGTGTCTGCAAAGGTTTAAAAGCCATGCAATTTCTTCTTAACGTCTTCCAGGAATTATAGTTGTAAACGCTGCAGTCCTGTGTTGCTGGAGGATCCCGGCGATGCAAAGAACTATGATTAAGTACTTCACGTCCAACCCAGCCTCCAGTCAGTATGGTTGTTAGTTGTGGAAAGTTAAAAGAAGTAATTCAAACACAGCTGTAAGAAGTTAATTTGTTTTTTATGCTCTGCTGTTTGTCTTTTTTTTTTTCCTCCTACCCAGAAACACAGTGCCTTCCCATGATTCTGTCTTCCTTCAGCCACTACTCCATTATACACATGGTGGCCAATATGTATGTCCTATGGACGTTTTCCTCTGGTATCGTCTCTCTCCTAGGCAAAGAACAGTTTCTTGCAGTCTACCTCTCAGCTGGTAAGTGGAGCAAAGGACAGAATCAATACTGGCCAAGCATTAAAACAATAGAATAGTTTTAGTTTGACTTAAGAAAAGATCTTAAGTCAAAGTACGATTTAGTTACTTCTTATAATGTATTTTTTTTGTATTTGTACAAAATCCTGATATTATTGAGAAAATATTCACCAATTATGTAAAAAAGGTAAATCTGGTGTATATATATATATATATATATATATATATATATATATATATATATATATAAAAAAAATTATATATATATATATATATATATATATATATAATTATTTTTATTTTATCTTCTGACAATTTTGTGACTGAACTCAAATCAAGGGTTTTCATATGTATTGTCGATTTAGATTAGGCCGCATAGCTCATTCAAGATCCAATACTTTACGAACCAAACAGCAGCCTGGAGTTGGTCTTTCACATTTTTCATATGTCTGACAATGTACGTGTTCCAGCTACTGTGTGATGTATTCAGACAGCAGCAATCTGCAGTCTAGCCACTAGGTGCCACAAAAGTATAACTATTGCCCTTTAATGTCCATTGTTTAAAATGTGACAATGTCCACGGACAAAAATTGTACATTGAACAAATCCATACATGGTGTTTCCCATTAAATTGGTTTTCATTTTATTATACATTGTTTTTTTTTATGGCTGAAAGTGTATGCTGTTTAGCTGTTCTACCATGAGAAACAAGAAGACGTCAAATGCATCATTTAAGTCGAAAAACTAAATGACTTAAATCTCTGCTCCATTCTGGGGAAAACGTTAGATTCTATTCCCTTTTCACATCTTTTTAAGACATCGCAAAAATATGTTTTATTTTTTTTTAAATTTCAGGCGTGATATCCACTATGGTCAGTTATGTTTGTAAAACCGCCAGCGGGCGATTCTACCCATCGCTTGGGGCGGTAAGAATGTTTTTAACCTAATATGTTATTATGAACGGTGAAAAGATTGTGATATGATGTTGTTTTATTCGCAGTCAGGTGCTGTAATGGCTGTACTCGCTGCTGTCTGTATGAAAGTACCAGAGGCCAAGCTCGGGATAATCTTCCTTCCTATGGTCACTTTCACTGCCGGAAATGTACGTTTCACTGTTTTTTTTACCATAAATCCCGTCCTCTGTGTGTCAGAGGTCTCCGGATGTTTGCTTTGTCTTACGCTAAATGTGTAACGTCATTCCTACATTGTGTTTTTGCTGCAGGATAAAGATTTAAATCTGTGCATGAACAAAGCAAACGCGTGTATGAATGTGTGAATGTGTAAGTACGCATGACTGAATGCACGGCATTCAGCGGTGCATTGTTTAGAATTTTAAATATCTGGGTTTTATTTGTTTTTAGGCTCTCAAAGCACTTGTGGCCATAGATTCAGCGGGGCTCATCTTGGGATGGCGGCTGTTTGATCATGCTGCTCACCTTGGCGGAGCTCTCTTTGGAGTGTGAGTCCCTGATCTGTAACCCTCTTTTCAGCTTTCTTTTCATTTGCATCAATCTCAAATTTAGCTTTCTGATTGATGCAAATGTCACTGAGAAGGGAAATCTACTCCTTCCGTCTCGTTTTAACCGTCTCCTGTTTTTGTCTTGCAGCTGGTATGTGGCGTACGGTCACAAACTAATTTGGAGAAGGAGGGAGCCTCTCGTGAAGCTGTGGCATGAGCTTCGCTCTAAGGGCGGCAAGGGATCGAGACCCGGCGGTGGGCCCGAGGTCAGAGGTCGCGGTGGAGGACAGCAGTAAACCCTGGAGTTCTTTACAGACAGGAATTTTCTGGTCATGGAAAAGATCTGGATGTTTTCAACTTTGTTGAAGTGTGTCATTATTTTTCATGAATAAATATAAAAATATGCAAACATCTGCTCTGTTCAGTTTCAACAGTGAGTTAAAGTTTGTTTTAGTGGGGCCATATTGGCATTTTAGGGGCTTCCCTAATAGAGCATGGTGCCACTTGTTTGTTTCATTCTAAAGCTCTGATATCAGTTTTAAAAAGGTCCTTGCTGAGTTAAAAAAAAAAAATCATATAAAAGTATTATCTCTGATGAATAGGACTTTTTTTTTCTTGTTTTGGATTTGTTTATGATCTACCAACCATAGTCCTGCTCAGTCCTGTGAAAACAAATGTGATTTATATTTGTTAGCACAGATGAGCGTTTTGGATCTGTTCTGCCATGTTTATTATTAGAGGCCATATTCGTTATGTGTTCTAATTATGCTACCAACAACCATCTTGTGGACAGAGAACAAAAATAATGTTTGATTTTGGGTAAACTACCATTGCACTGCAAGATTTAACTTTACTTTTTGCTACATTGTGCATACCGTCTTTGTGTCATTTGTCAGAGGCTTTAAGACCAAGTCAGAACAACATATATGCTGCAACGTTTTGACAAGTGAAATCTTAGAATTTGAAAAAGGATGGACTTTTTACCGTCACTGAATGCAGACATTTTCTTTGACATAAAATGACATTCAAGTTATAACAACCAACCAAATTGTCCTCTTTTGTAAACCTGATTTTATTTATTTTTTACATTTTTCTATCTCTATTGCTACGACACAATATCTTCGTAATGTTGTGTGTGACTTGCCCCAACTAAGGATGAGCAGCAACTTCACACCTCTGGAGTAATTAAGATGACTAATCATTTTTAATGCAACACTGCTATTTGCTATATGCACATAAAGCAAATGGCTACAGCCTGAAATTCTTCACACTTTTGGTAATCGTTTTTCTTTTCTGGATATAGTGTTGGCAAGTAGAATGATTAGGATGATGGAAAGTAGGCAAACCAACTTCAAAGACTTGGAGCTCATCACCAAAGATAAATCATGAAAACAGCGAAGGAAACTTCAAAAAAACGTTGTTCGGTAATTATAAGGAGTTCCTGATTGCTGTAAAGCCAATCAAGATTTGTCCACTGATTATTGAGTTGGGGAATAAATCTGTGACGCCAACTCTTTAAGAGTGAATAAAGTACTCTTTTATTGTTTTTAACTCTTTCACAAATAGGACTGATTCCTTCAATAGGTACTTAAATTTTCATTTTATTTACTTATTTTAAATTAAAAGCAAACCAAACTTAAATCACATTCTTTGAATTCTGAAGATGTGTGTTTCTTAGGATCTTAGCACTTCTTTTCTCCGTCAAGAATTTAGAAATCAGTTAAAAAAAATAAGCCATATGAATCATTTTCTGGACCTGTATTAAATTTCATTTCTTAAAAAAAAATCCCAACTAAATACCTGCGTATGAAAAACTCTTAGGCTTTTAAACCTACTATTCTCGTTTAATAATTGCAGTTCAGCAAGTGATTCTATCAAGAATACGGTTTTACATCTGACTAGTCTGTGTCCTCATCACCATCCTGCGATGAGAACTACCGTCTGATCCCACAACGAGACTAAAAGCATCAGCTGATTGGCATGAGGAGTGTTAACCAAACAAACAAGCCTACCAAACTCCCCGGCAGTCTCATCTCTTACTTTAGCCCAAATCATCAATTTGTAACTTCATCCCCTGCTCTTGTGATTGGCATAGCTTGGGAAACCAAACTGGGAAACCATGAGGTTGGAGTAGCAGAGCGGCATGAAGCCATAGATCTGCGTCAGCCGGTTCAAACAGTACGATCTCTGGAGAAGGTGCTCAGGACGATGCCACATTCCCCGATATCCACTGCCGGCATCTTTCTCAAGGTTGCGCAGGTCCACAGGCTTGACAAAGATCCCTGAGGGTCTGTGGACTGCGCCTGAATTTGAGTGTTTTCTTAAATACAGAGCAACAGCAAAGTTCACAGCTATGTCGTCACAGTTTTGGGTTTCGTCAACTAAGGCGTGTACTTCCTTAGACTGATCCTGGAACAGTTGCAGGTAGCGCCGATGGAAGAAGGCAGCACCGATCAGAACCATAGAGTACCTGCAGGGAGAACTGCACTGAGTAAGAGCAAACACAACAAGGACCCCAAAAAACAGGAAAACATAAGACGAATGCAAGGGCAACTTACATGTCTCCTCCAGCCGCTTCTGGATTCTGCAGCTCAAAGCTGCCATAACTGTAAATTCCTCCAGCCGTTGAGACGTGTTTCCGAGGGACAAATCCAACTATTTGGTCTGGAAATTGCTTCAAGATATAGAAATGTAGTGCTCAATTATATGACTAACATAGTGAGTTCAGGTATTTTACAACGCCTCAGTCGTAAGACTAGAAATGCTGTTTGAACTTAATAGACAATGAATCTTATTACCTTCCACACAGAAAAAGCAAAAGTGATGTCAGGGACACTGACAAGGGTGTCATCATCCAGCATTAACACAGCTAATTGAGAGAGTTGAGAGAGAAAGAATCAGAAGGGATTTTTTTTTTTTTTTTAGGAAAAATTGACAAAAAATAAATAAAAAGTAGAGATGCACCAATCAGGCTTTCCTGTCAGATACCCATTTCCATTTTTCTTTGAGGTCTCCAATTGATCAACTCTACTTTTTTTTTTTTTTTTTTTAAATAAAGAGCTATAACATAAAAGAAAATAATGTGCAGCAGGTGCTTTGATACCTGGTTACAAAATTACAAAAATACAAGAATATAATTATGCACGTCTCTAACCTTCACGTCATGAAAAAAGTGCATCAAAGTGCATCCTGTTGGTTGATTGATTGAGTTCTAAGTTTCATTATCTAATAGATACAGGAAAAACTCAGGATTTTTGGTCTATGTCTTGCCAATAACTTAGTAGTTGATCAAGCAAAAATGATCTAATTCCAGTCTCTGGTCTGTTGAATGGCATGTCTCTGGTTAAAAAATTAAATAATAATAAAAAATAAATAAAATAAATCTCTGAATATTTTACACATTGCAAACTAATGCAAGTTAAAAATGCACTGACCATTGGTGGCAATCTCAGAGAACGGCTGTAGCCTGTTGCGCATTTGGTTGCTCGCCTGCTCTTTAAAGACAACCTGGACTGGATGAGGACCCAGGGATTCCCACAGCTTGGCCGGAGTCGGCTCCCTGATGTTGTTCCACACTACGATGATCATCTGAAGATGAGGCACTGCCTGGTAATGGTTCAGGAGCTTGAGTAAAATGTCTGTGCGGTTGTAGGTTTGGATGATGACGGTAAACTTCTCTTCTAGGGCATCTGCAGGTTGACCCTGAGCGGGGTTTCCCTTTTGCGGCGCTGCTCTGCGCAGTACTCCCAGGACCCTGGCAACACCTCCATGCTCCTCGGCGGGGGGCAACAGAGCTGTCAAGGCTGCTCCGACCAAGAGGATCAGCAGGAGTGGAAAAATGATACACTTTCGCCGTAGTCCAAAGCAGCAACACCGAAGCCTGCAAAGAAGAGGAGACATAAACTGAGTTGTTTTTTGTTTTTTTTTATAGAAAAAACATAATGCAGAAACTGAATGCCAAGTTTAATTTTAATTGGTAATCGTGTGCGGTACACAGCTTCAAACATAATTTCCTGACCCTTTTTCATTTTACATAAGGAATTGAAACTTGGCAAAATACAATTTTTGCCCAGAGGCAACTACGTATCATTATGGAAAAAAAAACTGTCTTGAGACAAAGGAAATGCTGATGCAGATAGAGGTAGACATTATACTCTGTAGTCTACACGGTCTACTGTGAACACTGCATTTTGCTCGTCTTATTTAGTAATAAAATGGACACATTCAGTTTATGCAGAAGACAGACGAACAACACAGAAAAGCAGTGATTCAAGAGCAGCTTCTATGCTAAAGACAAAGCAGGGTTATAAGCAGCGGCATCTCTCTCTTTTTAAGTTGCAAGTGACATTGCAGACAAAAAAAAACCCCAAAACACGTTTAAAAATATACTTAGAATACGTTTATTTGTAGCATTTTAAAAAATAAACATACTTGTTATCCTAATGAGCTATATTACAGAATCCGGATAAAATAGTTTTCCTGTGTTGTTCTGGCATTCGGAACAACAAAGGATGGGTCAAATTAATACTAAAATATCAAGAGTCTCATGCACTGATTTGAAAAAAAATATTTCGCGCTATTTGTTTTCGTGACTGTTCATGTTTCTCTGCTGATGCTGTGAACTTTGTCCGGTGTGTTGCAAATGTTTCTCTCTGTTGAGTTTAGTTTTTTCACGTCTCACTAGAGCAGGTTTTCTACTCTTTTATTTATAACTCACCTCATTTTGTTTGCGTTGCAATCATCTCGTTCGGGTTACTGTGTCGCCATATTGGTTGCGTAGCAATGACGTAACTAGGTGACATGAAAAAAAGAGGAAGAAATCTCTGCTTTTAGAGCCAGACGTGGAAAAGTGGGTTGACCCACGCTTCCGTACGTTAGAGCTCAAAGGTGATTGGAGAAAATATGTGGGAGGGTTTTTTTTTAATGTAAGTATTTTTAAGAGAACTCTAGAATGTATCTAGTCTTGGTTTGTTGGATAATGTTACCGGTTAAAGACTCCGCAGTCCTAAATCTCAGCTGCACACAGAACACTAATCAAACGCGCTAGTGTAGTTTTGACGTAAGAAACGTAAATATTAACTCGTATTTCTTTCGGATCCAGGATTGTTTAAGGGAAAAAAAACAGAGAAGCATGCCGTTATTTCCACCCCTGAGGTGTCCCACAGTCCAACTCTCCAATGGTCTGGAAATCCCAATACTTGGATTAGGTCTGTATTACGCTTAAGACAGGTAAAGAGTCAAAAGAAAATATTTAGAATGTGTTCTCATATTAAATTGTCTTTGTGTTTTTTGTGTTATGTGTTCATGTTGTCTAATTTGCTTTGAAAGGCACAGCTGCAAGTTCTCTATCCCAGGGGTGTCAAACTCATGATCTGCAGGGGGCCATACAAGTAAACTCATTGCAAGATTAAATAGAACCAATAAAAGTATTAAACGAATTTCACTTTTACAAAGTATATTATGAATAATCTCAGTTTTTAAGAAAGGTATCTGCAATTTCAACAATACTTTTACTCAGTTAAGCATTTATTTAAGTGCATTATGCATAAGAACTGATCTCAGTGATTGTACAATGTTGCAAAACATTTATTCACAGTTTTTGGAACTTAAAAACACTGTCCTGCATCACAAAATACAACAGACAAAAATTAAGAAAAGATTTAAAATCAATTTTCAACATCTGGGAAGCAATTTGAACAAATTATCTGGCTTCACACATTTGAAATCTTAAGTGTCAGCTGTTTTAAACAGACATTTGATTAAGTACATTTGTTGATGCATAAAATGCATACATATAGAAAAACTTGCATACATAACATGTATGTATGTTAGCATGCACGAGAAATATGAGGTTGCCAGGGCCAAAATAAAAAGCTGGTAAAGCATAGAATCGAACTTGTTTACAGAACCTGAAGCTCAGTGCTGCCATCTGCTGTTAGTTCCGCTGCAGTGTTGCATCATGTTGTGTGCTCTGAATAAAACACAGCGCCCCTCGTGGACAGTATAGGAACTGCAGATTTTCAATTAAACGAAGTATATGTTTTTTCATGAATAATGATAATGCATTTAGCCCCCGGGCCGGACTAAATCGTTCGGCGGGCCGTACGTTTGACACCCCTGCTCTATCCTGTCACTTTCTGTATAGTATTATGTATGTGCATGTTATACTGCAATTGTCCACTGGGGGCAATGAGAGCGAGTTCTTATCTGTAGGCAGTACTGTTCTGAAGAAGAAGTGGAACCTGTGAATTATCAAAGGAGTGAAAACAGCTATCTGACGAAAGGATGTGAATATAAGTATTGAACAAGAAACCGCAAAATAAATTAACATAATTTCCAAGAAAAGTTTATTTGTAATGTTCTAAATATTTATATACGTTGTTTGCAAAGCCATTAAATACATTGCTGCAAAACAATTAATCGGGATCGATACTCATCCAGAATTGTGATTTTAACAACGTTTTTGCTGAAACACATGAGGGTATTGGAACAAGTTCACTGTCCTAATGTCTGAATTGTAAATCATTGTCCAAAGTGTATTTTGAGGGAAGCTTGTATTAGGTTTTTGTCAAGGTTATAGAATTCATAGCACAACTACAAGTAATTTGTTCACAACTTAATTCATTTGGTGATTATTTTGAAGTGCCACAATTAAAGGAACTGAATGTATAGTATAACATGCACAGTATTATACTAAGTGTAGCATTTTGTTGGGTCTTTTTGGTAGTGGTCAGATGATTTTTTAATTTTATTTATTTTTTTGACTTTCTTATGCTTTTCTGTAGAATTTGCCTCATTCCTAACAGCTTGACAATCATCATTTTTGCACCAAGACTGCAATTCCCTGTCCTTAAACTCATACTATAGCATGCTTTAGCCATTCTTTGCAAGGTTTGTGGAAAAATGCATCACATTTTGGGTCTCTCAAGAAATAGTCGAAGTGCTTCACCCTTAACAAAGTTGTATTGTAAAGTTACCAGGACATGAAGCTTTCAAATATGCTGTGCTTTTCCACCTGACTTGTGGCAGACCAATGGGAGAAGTCCTTGGCCCCCTCCTTCTTGACGTTGTTGTGCATCATCATCAAGAAAACTTTTTTTTAAAAGATTTACATTAAAAGCCTGTAAGTCAAAGACAGTAAATTTTCAATAGTATTTCTTTATTTCAAAAACATCTGAGAGATCAAATCTTCAAAGAAGGCCACAATGTTCTGCATCTGTTCTGTTGCCTCCGTTTCTTCAGGTCTCATCATCAGAGAATTTTAGTTTTTTTGTTTTTTGACTGTCAGGTACATCCCATCATGGCGGATACTCACACGATGCCATCGTGTACGCTCTCACTGAATGTGGTATTCGCCACCTTGACACAGCAAAGCGCTATGGCTGTGAGGAGAAGCTGGGCAAAGCTATCAAAGAGAGCGGGCTGCAGCGAAGTGAACTATGGCTCTCTAACAAACTCTGGCCTGGGGACTATGGATACAAAGCTGCACAAAAAGCTTGCCTGGACTCCTGCACAGCAATGGGGGTTGAATATTTTGGTATGCGGTACAATGTATATAGCTTTGTAAAACAAATGTAATTTAGTCAATGTGCTTGTGTTTTGTTTGCTTTTGTAATGGTAAGGTTTTCTCTCTCTTTTTTTTAGATCTGTACCTGATGCATTGGCCAGAGTCATTAAAACCTGGTTGTTCTAACCGAGAGATTAGAGCTGAGACATGGAAAGCTCTGGAGGAACTTTACAAAAAAGGTAGAAGGACTAGATGTGAACATTAACCTGATTTCACGGGGGCAGCATGTTGCAGAAACTTTGCTCATGCTGTTAATCGTTGCACGTTCCTGAGATTTTCTATCATTTTAGTTACTTTTAAAACACAATTTGGAACATTTCCCGACTCAGACTTGGACAGTTTGCCGCTTCAGTGATTTTTAGGTCACATAAAACATGTTCTATAATGAATAACTATTCCAAGGGAAGACTTGTGAGTCGACTGATTTCTCAAGCCTATGCATCAATCCAAACCTAACCTAGTTTTACACAACAAATGTATTTAATGACCTCCAGAGATTACAACCCCACTTCTTTCTCAGCTAGCTCCATCTGAAATGTCCGTCAGCTTCGTTTAACTTGTTTGCACAATTGTTTTTTTTTTTTTTTTCAATTTTAGTTATGACTTTAATTACTTTACAGATGTTTCCCAATCACAGCACAGACTCTTGTGCTTTCTACTGTCTTCTGGAATTGTGTCTGTAGAGCCAGAACACAAAGCTAGACATAGCGCAATGTTACAGCTACAATCTGACCTTATCATTGCAGGGATTTGTCGTGCTATTGGGGTGAGTAATTTTCTGGTCCACCACCTGGAGCAGTTGAAGGAAGACTGTAGTGTGGTGCCACATGTTAACCAGGTAATTTTCCCATTCGTTCAGTTCATTTAAGTGTATTTATTCTTCAGTTAGAGGATTGGATTAGATTAGATTAGATTCAGGATTGGTAAACTTTTAAGATCGTTGTCCAACTCCCTGCAATATATATTTTTAATGGCCTTTTCACAGATGCTTCAAAACATTGCTCTGCTCATTTAATAACTTTGCTAGGTGGAGTATCATCCTTTCCAACAGCCCAAACACCTGATGGAGTACTGTCGGAAGAATGGAATAGTGTTTGAAGGCTACAGTCCCCTGGCCAAGGGTCAAGTCCTCAATGATCCTGTTGTACAACAAATAGCAAAAAAGCACGGACGGACGACTGCTCAGATCTGCCTTCGCTGGAGTACTCAGGTAGTCACATTGTCTTGTTGCTGCAGTAGTTTTTGTCTCTCTTCTTGTTGTTAACCAAATTTATATTTTCTCAAAAATTATTCCCCAGAATGGAGTTGTCACTATTCCAAAGTCCATCAAGAAGAACAGGATACAGGAAAACTGCCAAGTGAGTTAATGAGCCTGTTGTCTTTTGAGCCTTATTAACATCCATACAGTGAGGAAAGATCTTGGTCCGGTGAACTAAGGATGATATTTCTGTCAATTATAGAGTTTTACCTTCTAAATGATTGGATCTTCACCAGGCTCTAAAATGATTTAATCTAAATGGCACAAAACAGATTTAGCTTACAATAAATCACACTAAAGATTTCCTGTTTTAGGCTAGTTAGGATGTCGTAATTTTAGTTTTCTAAGTTCAGAGTAATGAGTAATATTAATATTTTAGTTTTCTTACATTTCAAAGGTTTACATAAAACGTAGTACTTGTTAGAACCACCTCTTAAACTGCAAATCTTAGGTCAAAAAATTGCATCTTTCTGCCAGCATCCCTCAAAGATTTGATCAAATTGCAGCCCATTCCTCCTGACAGAACTATTTTGAGGTATGTGCCTTAAAATATATCCAGAAATGTGCCTCCATTTATTAGAAATGTTGCAAGTTAAAATCAGAACCTTGCAAAGTTGTTTAAAAGACATAGTGATCTTTGGCCTAATCTTTAAAATTTAATGAAAAAAAGTGATAAAACTTCTTATTCTAGCATTTATTTTACATTTCACACCGTTGTATTTCACTTTCTGCCATCTTGTACACAGGTGTTTGGGTTCCAACTTGATGAGAAAGACATGGTTGCTTTAGGAAATCTACATGATGGACGGCATGTAAGTTGGGATCCTACAAATGTGGATTAAAATTTACCAGGAAAAACAAAAAGAAGAAAAATCCTGGTAGTAACTTTGTGAGTGTCAGCTGGGGAAGTGGTCTTTTTATAGGGGGACACTGATGTGGATTTTCTTTAAGCCTTAACTTCGCTTGAGAAACTGCATGGGAATTCAATGTG